TCCAGGAGCAGATGGCTCGAATGGTGAACCTGGTCAACCCGGTGTTGTCGGTATTCCTGGTAGCGATGCTGCGTATTGCCCGTGTCCGCCACGTTCCATGCCTCAAGCTACCAGTGCCTAATCTCCAGCCAGACTGAATTTCTCATAGAATACTTGAATTTGAAGACAAAAGAATAAAAGCCCTGTCAAATTTGCTTGACGCATTAAAAGTTTAAGCTTCGGTACTTACAAACCATACAACAGTGTAAACTTATTGTTCGTTCAAGAATCAGATATTTTATTGTGATTTATTGGCTAGAAATTAGATGTTGAAGAGCTGTCAGTTGGAGAGCTTCTCTGCCTAAATCTGAATGACAAAATATCAACCTTTCCGTCGGCAACTTAGTACCAATATGTTGGTTGCAGTTTTCTCTTATCCTGAATACCCATTTCTTCGGCGATTTCTTCTTCAAACGACATAAGCTTCGGTTTATACGTCTTTTCCAAAACAATTTCTGCTGGCGTATCTTTACCTGGCGCTTCTAAAGCAACACATTTCTGTTAATAGTAGGAAAATACTGTTGACGAGCGACAAGAGGCAACAACATGAGTAACTCTCAAACACTTTTTTTCTACAGATAGCAGCTGCGGAGAAAGACAGCTGAAGATGCATTAAAAGATTAAACTAGGGTCGGAGATAGGGCGACAAATCAAGTACTTCTCTTGGGAAGAACTAAAAAAGAAATACAGTAACGAGCAGCAGGGCTGCTCCAGGCTGATCAACAAAGCATGAATCTTCGAACTACAAAAATTTCTCAGTTAAGGTTGTGGTGCAAAACTGCGCCATGATGAAAAGATGACATACTCAGAATGACGAAGGCCAGGGAGGAGTATCAGGGGAGTAAATGACGACACGTGCATATTTTCCTTTATAATACCAACAATACTAAGATCGCCCGAATAATCGGATATGTGTATATCACATATTACTGATGTTACTGGGATGCTCTCAGCTGCTGCTATGCCAAGTCTACTCACTGATCTCACGCTGTACAGCGCCAGTCAGTGACTATATATATGCCCCAACTTCTTCACAAAACAGTAAAACAAAACGTTCGGTAAAAAAAGAAAAAAAAAAAAAACGTTCGCTATAGCTCACCAACATATCGATCTGCAGTGATGTATTCGGAGGTGGCTTGCGCCAATTCAGGAAGAGGAATTCGAAATGCTGATCTTTTGCTCACTCGTATATATTCAGTGCCCTCCTCATTCAGTTTCCACTCCGCTTCACACGGTTCGCTGAAAATGGTTTTTTAAAAAAAGCCTTAACTTATAAGCCAAAAATACCAAAATCATCCGGAAAGACAGTGTGGATATTTCAAGTTAGTAAAATTACTGAGATATCTCCAAAAATCAGGCTTAGTTAAGCCAGACACTTCAAACATGAACTATATACCCCCAATTAAGTACCCACTTGCAGTATAAAAAGCTTATATAATCTGCTTTATTTCTCCACCCAGTATTGCTGGCATTTAATTTGCGTTGCTAATTTTTATAAATATTACTTCATCTTGTCGAGAGAAAGAGAGGGAGTTCCGCATTCCATACTTTTAGGTTTAAGTGAGAAAATTCGCAGCGTTCGATATACAAAGAAAATTCGCTGTGTCGAAGTCTGAGTGCTTGCCAGATATCTAAGGTTGGCGTGGGCACATTTTTGCTAAGCGAAAAGCAGTAAGCCCGCTCACATGCACGAATCTTACTTTGTACAACCTTCTGTCCAAAATCAGATTTATATCTAAGTCATGCGATGATGCAATTAGTAATATGGGCTATCTCCAAGTAGACTATTCCCATCAACTGGTAATAAATGCAAATGACGAGAAATGGTCAGTATCCCAGAATTTTTGTCGTTATCACAGTAGGGAGAATTATTAGCTCCTGAATACTTAAGTATCGACGTTCGTTGTCACGCCATCGATGTAGCACTAGCAACTTTTACTAGCACTTATGAAAATAAAGCTCTAATGAAAATAAAATAATTGGTCAACGTACGGGCTGCCCGTGCGAAGATGCGTTTTTTGCTTAGATCCCAGCTGTTTTTTTTGCTACCGGCACCGGCTTCTTCGGCAAATGCCTATAGCTAAACAAATTAAGACTGCCCGCCAGAACTGTCACAAACCACCCGACTTGAAATTTCAGCTTTCCAGCTTCCCTGGCTCCTGAGTTAGCAACTTAGTGGAAAAAAATTTTCATAGGCCCGTGCGAGTTTGACAAGCATACCCGACAGTTTGGTTTGAGCTGAAGAAACTTAGGTGGACGGGGTATATCCTCTTAAAATTACAGTCCTTTAGCGTCCCAGGTACTCGAGTTATAAACTTCCCCGCAAAAAATTGACGAACCCGTACGCGGGTACCACGCTTACCCGGGGCTAGGTTTCAGCTCACCAACACCCACCTGGACGGGGAACATCCTTCCAAGATTTCAGCATTCTAGCTTATCAGATTCCCGAGTTATGAACTTACCCGAGAAAAATTTTGGCGGGCTCGTACGCGGGTACCACACTTACCCGG